GGCTCAGGACTGGCATTTGTATCTTGGGTTACAACATTTGTGGACCACACCTCTTCTGGATAATCATCTGGATCATCTTGTAATGCCTCAACATAAGTCTCATATGATGACTGTTCAGTCCTGCAACATTGATTGAGGCACACAAAATTAATTGGTTCATAAACAGAGAACGTATGGAAACAAAATCTTGATTTGGTTCACTTCTTCGAACTGGTTAATACCCTAGGCTCTGGATCTTTAACATACAAAGCCAGTAAAAAATAGTTTTGAAGTTTGCTAAGAGATAATAATTTACATCTTTTACCTGACACTGCAAGGTATGATAAAAATCGGCTTCATGTTACATGTACAATCATCCATAGATAATACACACATCTTTAAAAAGTTTGCAATACCAGCTATTTCACAGTTTCTAACTCCAAACAAATATTAGGTTCAAGACGTATTGTATTTCTATATAACATAGTTCTAGTTCTAACTGTATTAATAATCACATCAAACCTAGTGCTGGAGGCATCAACCCTGAAGCTCACAGTTGGAGTTCCTGCATCAACTCTACAGCCAACTTCTTTAGTGTGTATCCATTCCTACAAAATTAATGCCAATATAAAGTGATGCTCTAAACTACAGCAAAAAGATGTATATAGATATACAAGGGAGGTAGGGTATCTTGAAAATTTATTACTAAATATATTTAAACACATGTTTGATTACTACCAACTCTCATAACAGCATGAAGTCTTCATTAATATATTGTGTACAGTATATTGTTTTTGTTAAACAGAGATGCTCTTTGTTAAAGAGATAGAGGGGAAAACCACAAGCACAACCACAACACCAAAAAGCATAAAACACAAAATAACAAGCCAATATGAAAGCTTAGCGTGTGTCAAATATTTCAGCCTCAAGTTAAATACAATAAGCTGCAATCATTAATGAGGTAGGGTTTATAAAGATTGAATACCAACTTCTAGTATCTATTTAGAGGTGGGCTGGACAGAATCATATGTACGTTGTTTTCAGTTTTAATTTAATACTACAAGTCTTCAGGATGACATGTTTACTGGTCTTTATGCAGAGAATGTGTATATTAATTTAAAGAGGAAATAAACTGAAATCAACTAAAGTGTTTTTGTAATCAAAACTGTGTGAATAATACTGTACAGATATCTCAAAATCAAGACCGAGGAAAATATCTCCAGAATACCCTTACAGAATACAGAGTAGTCCCTTAGCCCATAAAATGCTATCATGTGTTACATGTTACTTATTAGAGCAATGGGCCCTCCCTTATTTAGGCATGTGCAAGGGTTGATCATGATCAACAAGTCCTAGCATAGTAGATGAAAAAAGATTTAACTATTTTCACTCTATATTCTTCCTTAACCCAAATTACTGTGGGATCTCTTAGAGAGCATTCACATTGAGAAGAGCCGAGGTCTAGTAAGGCCGAGACCTAAATAAGGTGCACCTACATAAAAGAAATACCCTGTAATCCTTTCATGGTCTCTCCTCTCCCATGCGTCGTCCCTGCGGGGGTACAGTCCGGGCGAATGGAACTGAGATTTAATGACTGAACCCCCACAGCTAACAATGAAAACATACAGCGCATAATCCACTTATGAATTTCTGTACAGCATAGATTAGACTACCGGTGTGGCGTGTACCGCCGGGAGCGTGAAACATCTGTTCTGCTCATGCGCACTAAGTGCAGGCAAATCTGAGGGACTTCCAGCGTGTACAGTCCGTCTCTATAGAGTCGTCAATACATTCTTAGCCTTTAATAAACGTGCGCTGTTGAGAACATACTGCGAATTCAAATATAATCTTTAGAAGTATTCATGTCTTATAGATGTTAACCTCTACTGCTATTTCTCTCAGGTGGCCCTTGGACCTAAATAGAGAAGGACAAGTAACGCGGAGAAAGATCAAAGGATAATCGGCTTAGCGCGAGCTCTTCGCGAAACGATGTGCGTTCGGATCACGTGACCTCCCGTACAGGTAGCGAGCATATCGCGGCTGTTGATGACTTTTTGTGTCATTTGGACAGGTGGCTGGTGATAACGCGAGGAAAACGTTCGGGTGGATGAGTCAAGACACTTATAGAGATAAAATGTAAGTACAATTTCTTTTGCTATTTTGGATGCTAGATGAGAATAAGGTATGTTTGTTCATGGAGGAATTCAAAATGCCCAATATGGTGAAGGCAATCGTTTTTGTTGCCGTAAAATGAGTGTTTAAAATTGTACAATTGCGGTGTCGAATACTTGTCTTTAACTATGATCCGATAGAAAAATATTTCTAGTCTCGAAATTTTACCTCTATGTAAATAACTNGGTCATTTTTGACCACAAGTTGTCTGCTTTGCCAAGCCTTATGTTTTATTTTACCGGAGTTCAAAATTTATTATCCATTACCGTACTGCACATTTTGCTTTCACCACCAATATGTAATTTTTGATACAGCGTAACTCAAAAACCGTAAGGAATACAAAAAAAGGGAGACCACCAGTGTTGGGCTTTACATGCTCTACAAAATGCAAAAAAGAATGGGTCTCCAGCATTAAAGGTTCCCAAATTAGAGACAGTTTTCAGTTTCGGTATCTTATGGTCGCTACTCCTGTGAAAATGCATTGATTGACCCCAAATTCACGGAGATGAAAGATGACCTGAAGGGTAACACTTTCCAATAATATTATTGGTTAAGTCTGTGTGGTGTCTGAAGAACAGGGCAAATAATTTTTTTTTTTTTTTCGTAAAAAATTTGGTTTTTTTGAAAATTTTGGCCCGTTTGACCTTGAAATAAAGGTCAAAGGTCAAATCCAAGGGCATATTTGAAATGCACACATATGACTTTTGGAATGCCGTCTGTAGAAATTTTTCCCATAATTCCTTCCGTAGGGTAGATAATTAGCTTGTAATTTTGCCATTTTTAGACAAGGGTGCATTGCAATGAGTGCCACACCTAGACCCCAATACCGAAAAAGCCCAAATTTTACGTGGAACGAGTTGAGATTATAGGTGACCTTACTCCAAGAGATGGGTACGGAGGCCCTTACCGTCTAGGTGGAGAAGCGGTAATGGTAGCCGTCTGGCGGAGCCGGCAGAATGATCCGGACGGGACTAAAACCATGTGTACCGCCAGCGCTAACGCTGGTGGTAAAAATATAACGCATTAATACCAACCTTTCTAGGACAATCTTCATGCATGTTCCACTTTGTCTCAAACCTGTCCAACAAAAGGCTGACATCATAGGACTCCTTTTCTTTGCTCTCACTGTACTCACAAGTTAAGAAATGAAACTTCTTTTCCATAGCTAGCATCTCCATTAGGAAATATTCCTTAGCATTAGTTCTCACATTCTACAACATTCCAACAGAAAATATTTAGGTTTCAACAGCAACATACATGTACAAGCTTATTAGGGGTATCAAGGTGAAAAGAAGAAAAAACAATCTGCACAAACAAATGCAACAGATATGATGACAAAATGACTTGTTAGGCCATGTCTTGAAAATGACCAATTGAAAAAGAATGCACATTTTTATTGAAAGAATTTAAATAAAGGCACTTAATACAGGGAGCAATTACATTTTAACAGTTATTAGTAATCATCCATGGCATAGAAATTATGTCAATATGTCAGAAATAACCATAACATAAAAAAGAAACCCACTTGAGGTTAAAATAAAGCCTCACCTCGACCTCATCTCGGGTGTCATTGACACAGCACACCATCAGTTTCAGCAAAGGGGCAGGTCGAGGCTGAAATGACCCAAACACCAAGGCAGAAAGACGCTTACTGTCACATGACAAACTGTGTTTGCAGAACTGGTTCACATTTAAGACACATTTGGTGTTTGTCAACACAACAGAATCACTGCTCAATACTTTCCACTGACAAGGGGCATTTAAGTGAGTTTCTGACTGCCATACGTAAAATGGATTGTCCAGTCTTGAATTCTGAGTTAGATTTTCAGGACAGATCTTTCCCATCTTTCTTTGGCGTGTGCCTGATATGCAGTGATAAAATGACAGGTACACTGGTGTTCTGAACGTCAGGCCATGTGGTCCACAGACAACAACTGGACTTGCTCTAGTCTGACACGGTGGCAGCGGTGGCATGTCTTCTTCTCTCCAACTTATACCAATGAACATTTCTGTAGTTTCAGCCAGAGCTCCTGGAGGCACTAACAGGAATACTCCAACTTCCTTCAGGTGAACATGTCCACCTTCTGGAGTGATGGAGAATTTCCTCAGGTACATGTCTTTGAGCGCATCTGTCCCTATTTCCTCACTGCATTGTGAGGTAGAGTGCCTGGTCTGGGGTAGTGCAGGTGACTCTGACTTTCTTTCTTCTTGAGACATACCACCATCTCTGTCTCCTATAGCAATGTATTGAAAGAAAATGTAAAATTAATAGAACTGTCTTTCTCCTGATCATTGTTTAACTGTAATTTATCTGAACAAAACCTACAGGTTCAATAAATAAATATGTCAACTTCCTCACTGCTATTGTCTGGGCCAAATATCAAAAGTTATGATGTGAAAAAAAAAAAAGAATACATTTGGGGCATTCCCAACACCTAAGTATATTGTAAATCTGAATTCCCATGCACATCATTGATGATCTGTCTATCAAATCCCAAAGTTTTGGAAGAATGATATGATCAAGTCAGTTTTAGAACTGAGCCTTTACTAAAATTCATCAGTTCTCCAGTTTTAAAGACAAAAGTCTACTTGGTTTTCCACTCTGAGTTAAAGTGCATGACATCAACCTCAACATGGGCATTGGCAGAAACAGAGCAGCTAGGTTAGGGCTATATGTACAAACACAACGTGTCTGTTCATAAAAAGACTTCAAACTGGAAGCAAAACAACAAACAAATGAAATTGCGCAGTGGAAAATCCAACTGTAACAAAATCAAGGTATCAAAGAATTTTTAAACAACACCAATAACTAAATAATGCTTTTTAACATTTATATTTCATGGGTGTGTAGAGTTCTATGATAATTTACCTCCAGTAACACTTGGTAATGTTGTGGCAGGTGGAGTAACACTATCCTCCTGTTGAATAAAAAAAAACAGTGATCAGATACTCAGAGTACTCATTTATTTACAAAACAAATATATTTCACAAAGATACATGTAATATTCATGTACAAGTTATAACTGAGCCACACTTCCATAATATATTTACATGACTTACCTTCTCACTTGAGTCTGGCATAAACCATAGTCTGTACACTGAATCCTCAGGGAGCCCACATTCTGTGTGATCAGTCTCCTTCGGATCCATTGCCATCAGCTCATCTCTGACCTTTGGCTTTCTTGGATTTCTGACACACCATTCTAGATGTAAATGTGGGCAGATTGTCTGCTTAACTTGCTGAATTTGCATCGAAACATGGTTCTTCCACTTAGCATATGCCCCTCGGATTGTTCTGTCAAACTTTGTCGTTGGGGGATATAAGGGAATCAGTTCGATGGAAGAGGATTTTGTTGACTTTCTCAAAGCACAACGAGCTCTTCTGAGTGGATCAATTACATATACAGCATAATCGTAGTACAACTCATTTTGAAAGAGAAAAAAGTCACCTCTTCTTCTTAATCCTTTCCTACCTGAAGATGTGTCATTTTGAACTAATTTCACTGTAAGCCGGTTGAAAAGCACATGTGGCATAAAGTTCTCTTTCCCTTGTATAAACAGTGTTCCTTCACTGCCAACCCCAGATTCTGGATTCTTGCATACCTGAAGTAAGCTGGGCACATAGAACTGTCGAGAAGTAGGCTTTTCTGTTGTACCTGGCTTGACATCCTGTTGCAAAAGAATGTTGAATTGTACCATAACACCAATTACAATGGGCTTCAACTCACTGTCATCTCCCCATAGCTCATCCAAAAGTCTTTCATCTAAGATGCCCCTCTTTAATGCAGACCAATACGGAGTCCCTTTGGCTTTGACATGGTGTTTATCAACTGCTATAATAGACCTGAATGCGTCTATCAGCCATGTTGGATTCAAAATGACAATGTCTGAAAGATCATCAGTCTGAAAGTGCATAAGATCTCCAATGTCATGATGGAACTGGAGGAATGACTTCAGCTCAATGGCATCCGGCATTCCAACTTTAAGAGCTAAATTTTGCAGCTCCTCATACCTTATCCACCTTTTTCCTCGTTTCTCGGGTGCTCGTCGCAGCTGAAGATCTTCTTCTAATCTAATCCATCTTATTGGATTCTTCTCTCCCCAAGATTTTTGGCTTTCAGCAATTTTCATAACATATCGACGGAGATCAGATATTTCTTGATCTTCATCTTGACATGTGTTGTCAATTGCAAAGAAACGAGGATCAACATGCACACCACTTCTCTTCTGTTGTATATGCTGCCGCAATTTATCAAAGTATGCATTTATTTCTTCTTCATGCTGTAAGAGAATGGGAGAATGTTTTTCAACACACTGCAAGCTTCAATAACATATTTTATCAGTCAATTGTCATAATTACTTTTTTCAGAACAGTTTAATTTAAATTATTTATTATTATTAATTTTTTTGTTTGTTTGTTTGTTTGTTTTAGTACTAATACGTACCTTTTCTTTGGGAATATTTTCCAGGTATTTGTCTTTATGCGTGCAAGCAATGATTATTCGGGGGGACGATACCCCATCTTCACTCATGTTTTGCTGTTGCGAATAAGTATGGATTGCGTCTATCCAATAATTAGTAAAGTCTGGAAATATATCAGACACATTTCAAAATGTACCGTACTATCACTTTTTGCTGTTTGATCTGGTTGAGTATAGAAAGCTGTCTCACTAAAATTATGAAATATGAGTATTCTATGGATAATATATATGTACCAGTAATATTTACTAGTAATAGTGCTTTGTTCCCAAGCAAGCCCTGAAAATGTTACGTGAAAACAACAATTATATAAATAGATAAACAAGACCAAATTTTACTGAGGCATATATTAATTTTGAGCAAACCAGATTCAATTTAAGAATTTTAACTACAATCAACATTTCATATCTGCTAGCTGGTATACAGCAACACAAATGGTAGTAAAATGATTTGATGAAACACTTGTAGAACTGAAAATTATTATATACTCACTAACTGATGCNAGGTCACAGTAAATTGCCAGTATGTGACTTCCTATTCAACTTCAATAGTAACTATGGACATATCTCTGCCAGTTTTAGAGAGAAAAGGGAACCAAAATTTGCTAAGTTCAGTTCATGGTGTAAAGTAGGTCAGAGGTCAATTTCAAGGTCACACTTAGATTGCCAGTATATGACTTCCTATTGAAGTTCAATAGTAACTAATGGCGTACCTCTGCCAGTTTTTGAGATATAAGGGAGAGAAAATTTGCAAAGTTCAGTTCATGGGGAAAAGTAGGTCAGAGGTCAATTTAAAGGTCACAGTAAGATTGCCAGTATACGACTTCCTACTCAAGTTCAACAGTAGCTATGGGCGTATCTTTGCCAGTTTAAGAGATATAAGGGCTAGAAAATTTGCAAAGTTCAGTTCATGGTGTAAAGTAGGTCAGAGGTCAATTTCAGGATCACAGTTAGATTGCCAGTATATGACTTCCTATTCAAGTTCAACAGTAACTATGGGCATATCTTTGCCAGTTTTGGAGATATAAAAATCAGAAAACTTGCAAAGTGCAGTTCATCATGACAAGTAGGTCAAAGGTCAATTTCAAGGCCAGTTAGATTACAAGTACATGACTTCCTATTCAAGTTCAATAGTAACTATGGGCGTATCTCTGCTAATTTTGTAGTATTTCACATTTTATTTTCACCACGAAATATTGGATGTTGAACTGTCGATATACAATGTAGTACAATGTCTAAGCCGTATCGAAAACAAAAAATGGACACCACCTTCAGTGTTGCGCTTGACAAGCTCTACAAAATGCAAAAAACAAGAGGTCTCTGGCATTCCAGAATTTGAGAGAGTTTTCAGCATCTAATGGCCGCTACTCCCGTGAAAATGCACCGATTGACCCCAAACTCACGAAGATGAAAGAAGACCCTAAGGGTAACATCTGCCCATAATATTATAAGTTAGATCTGTGAAGTTTCTGAAAATCAGCATAAAATAATAATTTTTTTTTGCAAAAAATTCACATTTTTAGAAAATTTTGGCCCATTTGACCTTGAAATAAAGGTCAAAGGTCAAATCCAAGGGCATATTTGCAATCTCTACATATGACTTTCGGTCAGCCATCTGTAGATATATTTCACATAATTCCTTCGGTATGGGAGATATTTAGCATTGAATTTTCAAAAATTTTGACAAGGGTGCGTTATAACGAGTGCCACGCCCAGGCCAATGCACCGACTGAGACAAAAAAACCAGGGGGTTCAAGTTGAGATTATATGTGACCAAAATCCAACAGATGGGGACACAGGTCCTTGCAGTCTAGGAGAAGAAGCGGTAACGGTGACTTGTATCCCACGCCATCCTGCGGAGCCGCAGGAGCCGGCGGAGCTGTACGAGACGGGTTGGGACTAAAACCATGAGTACCACCTACGATCATTTTCAAGATGCGCTTCACGAGTGGGACGAGTACTTCCCCAGAGACAGGTGTTGTAAACAAAGGCGGGTCACTTATATTTGAAACCGGTAGCTTTAGTAGACTTAAACTAGTTATGTGATCTACGTACGCCCTATTTGAATTTTAATATGACAACTGAAATCAACTGAATTGAAATTTTTTACCAGTCTGAGATCAGTTGTTTTCAACCCGCAAGGCTTGCTCAGCGTGGAGGCGTACTTCCGAAGAAAATTCAATCACCCGTATCAAAGAATACCAACTGGTACTCAAACGGAATTCAATGTAACTTCAAATTACTTATAAGTATTTTATTTAAAAAGCATGTCATATTAAAACATATTGAGAAAAGGCAAAATACGGAGCCTACCTGTGCCGATAGACATACAGTAGGCCTATCTTGCTGGCACTCTTCCGATTTTCTTACTTATATACTCTTGCTGTGCACAAACCACGGTGCATATTGAAAACCCCTCTGATACAACCCGAACGTAAAAAAAGGCATTTGATTGCCATAATTTTCACAAAACAAGTGCATTTATAATTTGACGCGAGAATTGAGCACATGCAGAAATAAGACTGGTCTTATCTGGTCTGGTCCAGCATAGCGCAAACCACATGTTAATGAAGACGGTCCCATTTTGGGGGAGGGGGGTCACAGGAATGGAGTTCTTCGTGGATTACGCTAAATATCGTCAACATTTCATGCATCTGGGGAAATAAAAAGTGACTCAGAGGTAACATAAATATCCAGTGGAACTCTCTATGAAGCTCTCATGGAGTTAAGGAAGACGTCATTTTTATTGTTGACAAATCAGTTATCCATGTAGGTGAACAGCTACACGTGTTCGTCAGATTTTGACAGGGCGTGGTATTTGGCGCCAAGAAGTCTGGGCGGTCGATCCCGCTGATCTTTCGGTCGATTGTAGTAAATGTAAGATCTTGCGGTGTTGACTTCAAGAACGTTTCCCCATCTGCATATATATTTCAATCAAACTTGAAAATAAATTGCTTATTCTTCCCAAACTTTTTTTTTCTAGCAAACGCTATATATGGTCTATATGAAGGTGTTTACGACGTATTCTACCCACTGTCCATATTTGGTTTCATCCAGAATGGACCTTTTTTACCCCCCCCTTCCCCAGTTACGGGCGTGATGAATCAGTCAGCGAGGGCAAGTCTGCTTAATTAGCACAAATTGTATGTCTATAACACTATTTTGTCATCGGGGACAAAGGAAATGACAGGTATGTCATGCTTCCAGATTAGATCTTCAATTAATAGTTCCTTCCTCATTGACGAGAGCTATTGAAAGGACAACAATTGACAAAGGGCCCGGCATGCAGCATCTATGACTGGCTTGAAAATTTACCGAGTCTTGCCGACGACGTGGTCGAACAATCGGAACAAGAAAAAAATTATGTCGCATGATTTTGACGTATGGACTAAATGTTTGAGCCCAGATAAATTAATTTTATAATATAGTTTTTTTGGTCGGATTGACTGGGCCCGTCGAAATGCTTGGCACATTACCGTATTCTATGGATAATATATATATATATATATATATATATATATATATATATATATATATATAGTGCTTTGTTCCCTAGTAATAGTGCTTTGTTTCCAAGCAAGCTCTGAAAATGCTATATGCAAACAACAAATACAAAAGTAGATAAACAAGACCAAATTTTACTGAGGCATATATTAATTCTGATCCAACCAGATTCAATTTAAGAATTTTAACTACAATCAACATTTCATACCTGGTAGCTGGTATTCAGCAACACAATTGGTAGCAAAAATGACTTGATGAATCCTTTCTGTTTAAACACTTGTATAACTAATTGTTAATTATATACTCACTAATTGATAAACAATTGAGAGCTGGGGGATGCCTTACCAAGAATAGTTCCTGAGAAGTGTTCAGCACCATGCCATTGGTCGTCAAGCCTGTCTGTTAAAGCAAGGCTCATATCAATGGCAAGAATGTAAATAGCTCTGGATGAAAGGAATGTGTGGTGGGTGTTGTAATACACACTTTGCCCTCCAAAATCCCAGACTGCTAGACGAGCAGGTGGATTTTCAATGTCGTACAAGCTTTCTGTCAAATGTGTTAAGACATCAGGCGGGAGCTCCATACTCTCCTCTGTTTTTAAATAGGACAAAGCCTCCTTGGAACTACTAGGGCTGGGCTGGTGTTCTGAAAATATAAATGTACACAGTTTACATATTTCAGTATTAAAAATGAATACACACAAATCTAATCAATTACTTGTAATAACTACAGTATAAAAGCTAGAGGGGTTTACACAGTGATGGCTAATCATTTCAACAGAGACATAGACTGGGTTCCCATACCTAGATCGATCTAACAGGATCGGTCCATCTCCAAGGGGTTTCTCCCTATATTGCTTTAAGCTTAAGCAGCTTAGATGTCTCGAATGCCTACTAAAGCTGTTCAGGGATAATTAATTACCACTGTCAGCTTCAGAAGGTGTGACAGACTTCTAAGCCACTTTAGCTAATTACAATTTAGCAAGAATCCCCTAAGAGATAGATCAATCCAAAGTTAGTATGATAAGGTCTGGGAATGGTCCTATAATTTTGAAATAACTGACAATTTCTAATGTAGCATTTTGGTGCTTCTACTGTATAGAAAAGAACTATTAGGGTGCCTTCTTTTCAATTGTGTTGTTACCATTAAATATGAATGTTCTTATTTTAGAATTTGTTACTTAAAAAATACAGTATCTGCTACATTCATTAATTCCAAGTTTGAAATGATGAAGCCATTACCTTATGCCATAACATACTATGCTAATGTGGGTGAGACGCATTGAGAATAAAAAAATTTGCCATATTTATAGTAGACAAGGATATTTTAACAAAATTTGTAGTGCAGAAGATACCCAGTAGAAAACTGCATGGTAATATGTCTTGTCTTATTGTTATACTACTTTTGATTCAGGGGAAATAGACTACCTGCCTTACTGTGCATCCTGATCTGTCATTACATATTGATGGCAATTAATTATGGGTTAAGATAATTGCAACAAATTTCTAAGATGTGAAAAACCCTACTGTACCCCTTTCCTTGTCTTGTGTTGCCGAAATTTGTCCACCTGTTGATAAAGTGTTCTCATCTTCAAGTTTTGTAGAAACTTGCCATAAAAAGAGAGAAACAATGCAAATTAAATACATGTTTATATCTTTTCTACTTGTGCAGTGTGCATCTTTATGCATAAACCACCAAAAGCCTATAAAATCAAGATCTCATATAACTATGCAACTTGTAATCTTTATGCTCCGTCATAATACTCATGTGCCACTATTAGGCTTGATTTGGTCTTAAAGGAGGAAATTGCTTGACCACTTACAAGTAATAGGTAGATGTTAGATCATTTTTGATCTTAAAAGCAGATTCAGTCCATTTTAATACTACTGCTGTAATGATTAAGATCATGTAAGATCACTTGTGTTCTTAATTTGCACTTTAAGACTAAATCTAGCATACTAGTGTGCCCCGTATTTTAATGATTTTCTTTTCTTCATATTTGTATAATGTTTGATATACCTGCTATAATTTTCTCTTGAATAACATCAGACTGCATTTCTGGAGACTTCGATGTAGCTTGTCAAGAAAAAAAGTAAAGGACTAATGTATCTGTGTGGTACAACATATATATAACAAGATAAGATGANCATGTTTTAGATCTTTTCCACTTGTGCAGTGTGGATATTTATGCATAATCCACCAAAAGCCTATAAAATTAAGATCTCATATAACTATGCAACTTGTAATCTTTATGCTCCGTCATAATACTCATGTGCCACTAGTGGGCTTGATTTGGTCTTAAAGTACAAATTAAGATCACAAATAGTCTTACATGATCTTAAAACATGAGTAAGGCCATTTCTAGTCTGACAGCCAATTAAGTTGTCTCCCCTTACACATTCTCCTATTGTGAGCAGAGGTGTCCTCTATTGTGAGGGGAGGTGTGCCCCTTATTTTAATGGTTTTCTTTTCTTCATATTTGTATAATGTTTGATATACCTGCTATAATTTTCTCTTCAATAACATCAGACTGCATTTCTGGAGACTTCGATGTGGCTTTTCAAGAAAAAAAGTAAAGGACTAATGTATCTGTGTGGTACAACATATATATATAACGAGATAAGATGATGTGGGTAAATGAAAAATTCAGTATTTTTTCTTACAATCAGTATGCATTTTGATCCATCACTGCTGTTTGTACTAAAAGTGGGTTGTGGTGTAATAGTTAAATAACAAAATGTAATAATAAATAAATAAATATTTAAAATGGAAACAGACTATGGATTGTTTTAAATGGCATTCTGACACACAAAGATATCATCACAATTGGGATTCTTCTACAGAGTACTTCAAGATAACATTATTCATGATCACTCCAAAGTATTTGCCTAGACTAATGTTTTGTCATAATATCCTTTTTTTAAAAGAAAGAACACTAAGAAACATGTGAATGAACACTAACAAACATATGGTTCGATCAATTTTTTTCTTCTTTTCTAATTGTTTCTTCTTTTTGTTTATCACATATATAGGAACTACTGACTTAAGCTAACTCATGTTCCCGCAAGTTTTATATCACTACATCTCTATATTTTGAGTGTCACAGTTCTTACATTTCTTCACTTCCTCTGATGTTGGTGCATTAGTTGCCTCCACAACTTGGCTCAAGGGTTGTAACTCTACAGTAATTCATTCAAAAATTCAAATTAATCAAATGTTCATTAAAATTATTCTAAGAATATGCATATCATATATTTATAATATAATTTTAAGTTTTTTATGATTAATTATTTTCTCGTTTCATATTAGAAAATGTTCCTGCAGTTAAACCTCTCGACACTTTTACATATACGGTAAACATGTTCTAGTTCTAGTAGTTAGTTGTACACACACAGGAATTACCTGCATGACTTGCCCGGATTTCCTCATGTATCTTTCTCGTGTTAACAGCAAGCAAACGTGATATTGCTGGCCCATGACACTCTATAAATTAAAATAATAATTTTATTATTTGTCATGAAATACAAAGAGACTGAGGTGATCTAGTTGCTGTTAATAAATAATAAACAAGGAGGAATTAAAAGAATTGTCCTTGCAGATTAATAAATCTTCAAGTCATATATTAAGAGTTGAAATATATGAAGTAAATGAATTTCAATATTGAAACACTTTTTAATTCTTGTACAATTATTCTTACCAGCTTCATCTGAATTCCAACCCTCCTTAACAAGAACGTAGTCAGTTTCTATACCATTAGTGATTGGATCTTTATCTTCATCATATTCCTTTCCCAGTAGCCTCTTTCTCAGGTGTGTTTTACCTGCACCGTAATGGCCCAGTAGTATCACCCTCGCCCTCTTCACTCTTTCAAAGCCATCCTTACATGCTCGTTGATATGCTTCTTGCAGTAGTGGGTCTTGTCTATTGATTTCCTCTGAAAACTGACCTGAAACATTAAAGCTGCATTTTCAGTCATAGTTTCAAACANTCAGATCCACAAAAAAAGAAAAAAAAAATACTTAATAAATAAATAAATAAATAAATAAGAAAAAAATAAAGATAGTATGAGAATGATTAAAAATGTTTCACAAGAAATGCAGTATGCAGCCATGCATCTGCCATTCCGATAGCTGGTTCCAAGTTGAACTTCTTATGTCCTCAAATCTCTAAAATATTATTTTTCTATTTTAGTTTTACATGGTAGTTATCAGTGGCATACACATCTGTAATGTATCATTACTGGTATCTGGCAGGACACATGCACTGTGCAGAAGTTGTAAATTGTACTGTTATTGCACAATGACACCGTCAAGTTAAAGAGATAACAACTGTTTATTTTGTCCCCCCCCCTCAAAAAAAAAAAAAGGATTTTATTGGGGTAAAGGATAATTTTTCCATACTTACCAATGGTAATAGGTCAAAGGTCAATTTCAAGGTCACAGCTTGGCTGCCAATATATGACTTCTTATTCAAGGTCAATAGTTACCCTCTACAAGGGCAAGTGATAGATTTTTTACAGATGTTCACAGATATATCTGTAAATAATCTGTAAAAAATCTATCACTCGCCTGGTAGAGGGTAGTCAATAGTAACCATGGGTGTTTCTCTGCCAGTTTTGGAGTATTTCACATTTTGCTTTACTGCTTAATATTGAAATGTACTTTTTTATATAGCGCAACTCCTAACCTACATATCAAAAACAAAAAAATGGATTCCACCCCCAGTATTGAGCTTGGCAAGCTCTACGAAATGCAAAAAACAAAAGAGGTCTCTTCTATTTAGGGTTCCAGTTTTATAGAGAGTTTTCAGTTTTGGCATCTAGCGGCTGTTTCTCCTGTGAAAATGCACCGATTGACCCCAAACTCCCGAAGATGAAGTCCCAAATTGTAATCCCCCACTTAGGTCAGTGTAGTTTCTAAAAATTGGCACAAACATATATATATATATATATATAATTTTTTATCCCCATTTTTAGGAGATTTTGGCCTGTTTGACCTTGAAATAAAGGTCAACTGTCAAATCCAAGGGCATATTTGGAATCTTCATATATAACTTTCAGTCAGAATTCTTTTGTAATTTTTCCCATAATTCCTTTGGTTTGAGAGATAGTTGGCATTAAATTTTCCAAAATTTTGACACGGATGCATTTCAAAGTATGTCACGCCCAGGATAATGCACCAACTGAGACAAAAAAAGGGTTCAAATTGAGATAATATGTGACCTAAATCCAAGAGATGGGGACATGGGTCCTTGCGGTCTAGGAGGAGAATGTTGACTTGTATCTGGCTCCAGAACACGGAGCTGGTGGAGCTGTACGAGACGGGTCGGGACAAAAACCAGGAGTACCAACAGCTTACAGTCTGGTGGTACTAATAAATGTGTTGACTGCCATTTTAGTGGTAAAACATAATTTGTTATATTTCTAGGAGTTGTTTACAATATTTTTATTAGTAAATATGGATATCATACAAACAGTTGTTATCCCTTTAACAACAACACAGAATAATATTACACAATATGACTTATTTGAAAAAAAAAAAAAAGAAAAAAAAAACAATCTCAGCTGATGAATCACAGGAACAGTAACTTTTAAAAACCATCAGATGTAAAAATTGTAGCTAGAAGATGATGTGCTGCAGCAGTGTAAGAGATTTTGCTTACTAGTTAATAAAAACAAATTTATAGTTTGCATGGGATAAATTAGTTTATAATCCAACGTATGCGGGGGTCGTCCATTAACTAGCGCGCATGAGAAAAAGCAGTAGATGTACAGCCGCCTTACTGGCACCAGAGACCGAGAAGATGACACAATACGGGTGAGTATAAGTCCAACACCAGTTCGAGTCAATCAATTTGACTTTCTGGCCAATGGCAACGTTGGCTCATGTCACGTGATATAAACACAGAAGCAGAATATTCCCAGTTTCCGTGGAGCCTGCACGTGAAGTTCACAGAGAATAGAGAAGTAGAAAACAATAGACAAAGGTAAGAAATCTTATACAAAATTTGTCTCCTCCTCCCTCCCCTCAACTACAATTGCTATAACAGGTGCGCTAGAATAAGACGACTCCCGTTTCCCAGATAGCAAGATGACGTAGGGCCAATGTTGGCATGGTTGGCATTTGGTTGGCATTGGCATGCCACCATTGGGCCAATGTTGGGCCATCGTTGGCACTTTGACATTGACCTGCCACCGTTGTGCCAACGTAGGACCAACATCATTATTTTGACGTTGATCCAATGTAGGGCCAATGTCATTTTTAACCTTTTTAAAGGTTAATTAAATAATTAAAATTAAACTTGTTGCACCAGAGTCTTTTTTATGTTAAGCTGCCATTGGTGATGTCCGTTTTTAAAATTATTATTATTATTATTATTATTATTAATATTATTATTATTATTATTATTATTGACCAGTGACAGGCTGAATGCATAGATCGAACTAACATCATATTTTGTCAATTTTGATTTAATTTATCATAAGAATGATTAAATTATCTCTATCTCTTTCTCTCTCTATTTGTCTCTTTTCTTCAAAGTCCCCGCATTAGTGCACTATTTGTTTAAAATCTATATGTTGTGTTTTGATTTGACATTTGAATGAACTATTGTTAACCTGGTAGAGCTACTCGTTCCGCTATTTTGAAATTCCGTTTTTTATGATAAGCCGGCCAAGGACCCGGATGAAGCGTTTCTTAGAGTAATGGATTTGAAAAAGGCAGAAGCTTATCAAGCTGATTCAAATTGTTGAGTTATTTGATTCGTGATGTGATTTAATTCGAAGGCATCAACACTGGCGACAAGGATAAACTCTAGTGCAAAACTGTAAGCCAACTTTCTTTGAAAAAAGTGCAGGAAAACAGTGAAATTCCGAAATTTGAACCATACAGAAGTACGCAGACATTTGGGTCACGCTGGACGCGATGGCTAGAGTAGACTGTTTTAAACTCTTCGCTGACAGAAAAAGATTGATCGTTTCAGAACCAACGGACGGAATGAATAATGAGCAAAGGCAGCAAATTAAAATACATTTCACAGGAGACTCGCGCTTATGTTGCAGGGTCAGGTGTACATGTGACAGTGTACAAGATATTTTCAGGACTTCAAAAACAGGTGAGAAGCATGTATATTCATCGGCAGTCAACCCTGTATATGGAACACCAGAAACTGTGAGTATGGTGAAACCGTAGTCATTAAACGCCACGAATTCAGACATGAAAAACGAAGTAGAACCCCCCCGACTGAGAAAACATGTTACAGATGTGGAGTTAAGGGACACTTTGGTCGTGACCTGGAATGCCCTGCTAGAGGAAAATCTTGGCAACTTGTGTCAGAAGTTGGATCACTTTGCAAAAGTCTGCAAAACTTAAACTATTATATTATGAACACGATAATCCAGGAGTGGTGTGGGAACCAATGCAATATATACTTTGAGTATAATTGGAGTTCATATGTTATTTTGCAAATGTTTGAAAAAACAATTTAAAGACTGCACTGTCAATTAGCATGTGTTCAAAAGGGCTTTCTCTCCAAGAAAGGAAGAATGTTGTGTTTTGACTTGACATTTGAATGAACTGTTGTTAACTTGGCAGAGCTATATGTTCCATTGTTTATTCATTTATTAATTATGATTAATAAATCAAGGACTCGAATGTAGCATTTCTTAGTGTTATGGATATGAAAAAAGCACAAGCATTGCAAACTGGTTCAAATTGCTGAGTGATTTGATTTGTGACGTGAATTAATTCAAAAGCATCAACAATATACTGGGTATGTTTTTGTACACATGTAATTCTCTTTTTTAGTACATCTATATCTATGCTGGGGTATATACAATTCTTTTTTCAGAGTTAATATGTATGTAGCCTGCATGCAGTTAAATTGAAACAGTTACTACATGGCCATTTATAATTTTGTTATAGCTCTCCTTCTTCTAAAAATACAATGTTTTGTTGTTTTTTTTATTCATTAAAGATTTATTCATACTATAGTGATTATGATTATAAATGATGTTTGGATTAGTTTAAAAATAACAATATATATTATTTAGGTTAGGGTGTGCAAAAATATGTACATGCATACTGGTAATTATTCACTATTTTTGTTTTAGTTCAGATTCGATGACCTGTTTTTTGTAAAAAAAAAAGTTTGTTCCTACTTTTCCTTTACATGTATATAAATGACATTTTCCCCTGTTTAGTGTCAGTATATTTGTCTTTTTGCAATGTATTTTTTTTTTCTTCAAACATTGTATTGTACAAAACGTCATTGTAGTCTGCAGGGTTTTTTAAAATTAAATTTGACACTGTATTAACTGTTAATTTGGGTACATATATTACAATAATCCAAATGCATCTAGCATGCTTTGTTTCTTCACATACTCTTTTAGAATATTATAATGAACATTATTATGTTTTTACATTTACTGTTTATACCTTTTTATTATAACCTTATGTATACACATGCACTTGAATAAAATCAGTTGTAGAATTTATAATCACTTTTTTTGTCGTGAATATAAATATCAAAACTTATATTTAATGTATTGCCTTTAAATTCATTTGAAATAAGAATATTGAAAGCAATAATTAACATTGGCTTAATGTTGGCAGTTTAAAATCTCCAACGATGGGCCAACATTGGCCCAATGAAGGTTTGTAGGACGTATGACATTGGGCCAACGATGGCAGGCCAACCGTCAGAATTCCAACATTGGCATGACGTTGGCCCAATGCCTTTGTTGGCCAAATGACGTTGGACCAATGTTGGCTGGTTGGCAAGATGACGTTGGGCCAATGCCTGTACAACGTTGTGCCAATGAGCAACCATACATTGGGCCAACGTTGGCCCAACGTCGTTGGTTGGCTTGCCAACGTTGGGCCAATATTGGCAGTATTACCAACCATGCGTTGGGCCAACGTTGGCCCAATGCCGTCCTGCTATCTGGGTTACGCCATAACAGTTTTACATAATCATCAAAACTAGCAAATTATTCTTTAGTCGCTTCTGCAGATTATTAAAAAAAACATTGCAACAGCCTTGATATATATGTGAAGCATAATGATAATACTAAGAAATTTGATTAAACATTTTAGAATGTTTTTCTCATAATTAAATAAAAAAATGAAACAAAATATAAGTTCTATTGAAAACATCATTTCAACAAGTATTTCATACAGCAAGAGATATATGGTACAGTTGTATCATTTTTGTAGGCGACATTGATGTTTGTTTAATTTAGAATTGAAATGGCAATCAGCATAATTCTGAGCAGTTCCTGAAATACATGTATATTGTACAATGCTAAATATCTGCTTGGCACAAACATTTGTTGAGTTGGTTTAATAACAAGTTTATTTTTGTTTCCATTTGATGGTGTTTGCATCATAATGTGGTGAAATGTATCATCATACATATATAATGTATCACTATTATGATTATTTCATGAGGTTTTTGTTGTTTTTTTTTCTTTAGTTAATAACTTATCAACCTACAAATACATATGCCATTGTACTGAATCTGCCTGGCTTATAGACTGTTCAGAATAAATTTTATCAACATCCATATTTTTTTTTAAAATTTGGAGCAGGCGGCTGTTTCACAATCAGGGTGAACAATTAAATGTGGTTAATGTTACAAGTGTCTGATAAATTAACAATTTATGATTAGAGATTGCTGATAGACTGATATCAAAGACACTGTTCATAGGAGCAAAATAAAAAAAAAAAAGAATTATAATAACCGGACTACAATTTACAAAAATATGGCCAATTATGTGTCCAAAAAGTACTTATTTCTAACTGTTACAATGGGTTATTTTCAACTTAGGTCATAAATATGATGCACTAGCTCTTTATGTCAATGATTATGGTGAATATGATATTGGTGTATAATTCCCACAACATATATGTCTTCTCCTCTAGCAGGTTCTTCCAAAGATATGTTCTGAGTAAAAATTTATTTTAACCATTTTGCTGAAACAGGCTTTTGTACACATTTTACTTATTTTTGTTAATGCAATGAAAAACATATTTGATAAGGCCAAATATTACACCTACGTGATAATCAGATGAATTTACCATGTTATGACTTAAACATAAGAAAGGAGTTGTGCATAAGTAACCATTATTATTAATGCTATGGTATTTATATATATAATCATGAGCCCCTTGATTTCTC